CAATTTTCTCCTCGTCCCATTCGAGAACCTCGCTGACTGGCGCTTGGAATAGGATGTGGGCTCTGGTGGCATCTGCTCCATATTTGGTCATACACGTCCCAGGATCCACACCATTGTATTTTGATTTGGACATCTTCTCGAAGCTGATATTGGCAACCTCATTGGTAGCAGTGATGATGGGCTTTGCTGGGTTTGAAAGATCCACTTCTTCGGGTTTAAGGAATCGTCCAGTGGATGGATCGGAGTATGTCTTCCCATGCACCATGCCCTGAGCTAGGACCTTCTTGAAAGGCTCCCCGAAAACCTTTGCTCCATTCGGCCAAAGTGTTGTTGTGGCAAGGAACTTGGAAATGAATCTCGAGTACAGCAGATGTAGAATTGCATGCTCAACTCCGCCGATATACAGATCGACTGGCAGATTTGCATTTGCAGCCTCTGCAGAAAAAGGCGAATCGGGATTCTTCGGGTCTGGGAATCTCATGAAATACCAGCTGGAGTCGACGAAAGTATCCATGGTGTCTGTATCCCTCTTGGCAGCCCCCCCACACTTGGGACAAGAGGTATTTACCCAGTCGTGGGCATGCTCGAGAGGGTTCCCCGTCTTGCCCTTAGCCCAATGACTATCCACAGGCGGAAGTTCCACTGGCAGCTGATCATCTGGCACAGGAACGGCGCCGCAACTGCCGCAATGAATGATTGGGATGGGTGTTCCCCAGTATCTTTGACGACTGACTAGCCAATCTCGAAGACGCCAAGTTTCCGCTTCCGATCCCAACCCCTTGGACTTCAAAAGAGTGACAATTTTCTTTGTAGCCTCTGAAGTAGTCAGACCAGCATATGGGCCACTATGTTTGGTGAGATGACCATGGTGGATGAAGGGACCCGTCTTGAGAACACTTGTTGCCTCGTCAGGTGACTGAGAAATCACTAGTCGAACTGGGTCGTCGTAGCGATTGTGCTTCCAGAAAGAATGGTCTCGAGTATCATGACCTGGGACACCCATGACAGCTCCATCACCGTAGTCCCCAAGAACATAAGGTGCGACATAAATTGGAAGGGAGGCTTTTGTTGCATCTGGAGTTGACTCCTCGTAGGCGAGAGGGTTCAAAGCCCGAACATGCGGGAGAAGATATCCAACCTTGGAGTCTTGTGGGAGGGCCGGAATGGTATCGAGGAAAGCCTGAAGCTCTAGATCTGTCTTGGCAAGAGCCTGAACGATGGGATGGGTTGAAGCCAAAGCGATGTATTGCACACCAAAGAGAGTGTCTGGTCTGGTTGTGAATACCTCGATGTCGGCATGTGTTTGCTGATCATAGGCTACAATCGGGAATTTGATTCGAGCTCCGGTAGATTTTCCGAGCCAGTTCTTCTGCATTGACAATACTCGTTCTGGCCATGCGCCGTCCTTTTCCAGCTGCTTTATGCCGTCCAGCAATTCTTGTCTGTATTCCGATATCTTGAAGAACCACTGTTTCAACATCTTCTTCTCGACCTTGGCGCCAGATCTCCACGAACACCCATTGGAATCCACTTGCTCGTTCGCCAGAACCGTCTTGTCCACAGGGTCGTAGTTTACCAATGATTCTGCTTGGTATGCGAGACCAGCTTGGTGGAGTAGGAGGAAGAGCTGTTGAGTATGTTTGTAGAAAGTGGGATCGCATGTTGCGAATTCCTAGAACATCAATTAGCAATGGATTTCTCTTGGGAAATGAAGCTTGCATACCCTATCCCAATCCCATTCTCCGTTCATGGCTTGCAATTGTGACTTCATCTTCTGGATATTCTGCTTCGTCCATGTTGCTGGCTCGATGCCCCTCTCGATTGCTGCGTTCTCTGCTGGCAGACCAAATGCATCCCATCCAATTGGATGCATTACTTCCGAGCCTTGCATGCGATGGAATCTCGCCAGAACATCTGAAATGGTGTAGACGCGCAGATGACCCAGATGTAGATTTCCAGAGGGGTAGGGGAACATGGGGAGTACGTATTTCCTGCTCTTGCTATCCTTGCCCTGCTCCCGAACAGGATTCTTCTTTTCCTTTATGGCTCGTTCTTTCTCCCATTCTGCACGCCATTTCCTGTCCAGGGCGGGAAGGTTGAGAGGCTCGAAGGAGGATACTCTGATTCCTCGAGTGAGGCATGGGCCGAATCTACCTCTACATATTCTGCGGCACGCAGGACGCAGCCCCCGTTGTCCGTGTTTGACGATTGCCGTAAACATCTTGCCTGGGGGGCATTGTGCGTGTGCAAGCACCTATGAGGACAGCTTCATCGCATAGAGGGAGGTAGTTGGGAATAGCTTCATCTTACGATTGTGAAGGTTGACTGACGAGGCTGGCTCGAATATAAGTAAAGTGGCCCGTGCCCTGCCGGGGAGACAAGCTCCGCCAAGACACGATCAAGCCCCCCAGCCCGAGCCAGCAAATGAAATGTCAAGTACGGAGTAGGACAAAGCCTCACTCACTCATGGAACCGAAACCTCAACTCCTGTCTGCAAGCATCAACCATCTTCACGCTCCAACACTCACTGGCACATCTCCACGTCGCTTCTTTTCTCTAATTCCTTACTGTTAAAGTAAATATATCGGCACTCGCAGAAAAAACCCTCTATTGCTGCTCTTCCAGCCTCACTCACGACTTCACGACGACATGATCCAGAAAATACAGTAATACCACCCTCAACCGCATTCGACAGCATCCACATCCACCTCCCACAGAAGGGCAGGAGATGAGGATATAAAGCAGAAATACTATGTCACGACCCTATTCCAACCCCCAACCCAATGCGCGCGATTCTCTGGAGTTGGCCAGTCTGGCCTCGAGTTCCCCTGGTCCACGAACGTCCTCTTCATCCTCTCGATCCGGAATCTCCTCCTCTAGAAAGCTGTCTTTAGAGGCAGACGATCCGCTCGATGCACGGAATCCAGCTGCAAATACTAGGGGCAATCGATCATACTCCAACTCCTCCGTCTTCGACTTCACATCCAATCTCTATCCTCTCTCTTCCACGTCCGGGAACGGATATGCGCCAATTGGTGCCCCTATATCCTCTTCGAATGGACAGACAGCATTAGGAGGTGGATCTCTGGAGAAGCACAAGACTCTGACATACCTTAACGGCCTGTCATTGATAGTGGGATTGATCATTGGGTCTGGGATCTTCTCATCCCCTAGCCAGGTCAACGCAAACGCCGGATCACCAGGAGCGTCGCTAATTGTCTGGACAATTGCCGGAATCCTGGCTTGGACCGGGGCATCGAGTTATGCGGAACTGGGAGGAGCTATACCGTTGAATGGAGGGGCGCAGGTCTACCTTTCGAAGATATATGGGGAATTGTCGGGGTTCCTGTTTACTTGGTCTGCGGTAATGGTATTGAAGCCTGGATCGAGCGCCATCATATCCATAATTATGGGGGAATATCTTGTTCGAGCAGCCATTGGAGCAGAGGCAGAGAATGTTAGTTCTTGGATCAACAAAAGCGTGGCGTTGGTTGGATTGTTCGCCGTCACATTGCTGAATTGCATATCGACGAAGCTTGGGACGAAGATGGGAGACATGTTTATGTTCTTCAAGTTCATTGCATTGCTGGGTGTTACAGTAATTGGCATAGTGGTTGCGCTTACAGGATTCTCCTCGTCTGGAAATGCGAATCAGGATTGGAAAGACAAGGGGTGGTTTGATGGGACAAGTACGAGTGCGAGTTCATGGGCTGTTGCTCTCTATGCTGGACTCTGGGCTTTTGACGGATGGGATAATGTGAGTACAGGTCTGTGAGGAGAGGGCCGCCGCTAATTTCGAAGACCAATTATGTTGTAGGAGAATTTCGAAATCCAACCAGAGATCTCCCCCGTGTTATCCATACCGCAATGCCTCTGGTCATCCTCTCCTACCTGTTGGCTAACATCGCATATTTCTTCGTCCTTCCGCTTAACACTATCAACCACTCGAACACCGTCGCGGTAATGTTTGGTAGTAAAGTATTTGGACCGATTGGATCTCTCATCCTGGCATTGATCGTTTCGGCATCATGCTTCGGAGCTCTCAACGCCACAACCTTCACATCTGGTCGATTGGTATACGTGGCAGGGAAGGAAGGTCTATTGCCTGCAATGTTTGGGAAGATCGGAGTAGGGAACAGCGCAGAACCTAATATCAATACTCTACGAACCCGGAACTGGGCATCGAAAACTCTGGCTCGCATGTTCGGAGACGAAGAAACGGGACTCTTCTTCACGCCTGTCAACGCGATGATCCTCAACGCCGCACTGACAGCGGGGTATATCCTAGTCGGCGAGTTCGGAACTCTCGTCACATTCTATGGCGTCGCGGGGTATACTTTCTACTTCTTCACGGTGCTTGGACTCATTATCCTCCGAGTCCGCGAGCCGAACTTGGAGAGACCGTACAGGACGTGGATCACAACGCCGATCATATTCTGCTGCGTGAGTCTGTTCTTGTTGAGTCGAGCTGTATTTGCAGAGCCGTTGCAGACCTTGATAGTGATTACCTTTATCGGTGCTGGTATCCCCATCTATTACTGGAGGATACGAGGACGGGATCAGGGTTCCAAGAGGGAGAGGGGAGAGGAGACGGTTGGATGGAAGTTTTGGAGGAGGTGGATGAGGTAGTGGGGAGAGATGATTAGAATAACACGAATCATTGCATTTCTTCTCGAGGAAACTCCGCGCAAAAGGCATTCCTTTGAAGTACTTCCAACGGGTAGTGAGTGAGAGGATCGCCAAGTGGTATTTTAAAGATACTGCGTGGGACGAGGTTCAGTCTCTCTTGTTGATTTTGTTTGGAGGAAGCTCATGTGAGTTCGCATATGCCCTTGTGGCCGTTGGTTTTAAGTGAGTACATTGAAGTTATGACCTTGGGTGTGGATCTGCCAAGTGGCATCTGAACTTGTCTACCTACCTGGTATGTCTCCCACCATTCACAGCCCAAACAACCTTCCTGCCTATTAAAATGTAGAAAAAGTGTCAAAAAAGGAAGGGAATGATCACTACGAGGGTCGAACTCGCGACCTTGGCGTTTCCATACATTGTGTATGAATATTAGCACCACGCTCTAACCAACTGAGCTAACTGCAACATCTGTTAGTCCGACCTTCAACGGAGGAAAGTAACGTGAGAAGTACTTACGCGATCTGTTTAGGTGTCATGATGTGCGGATATTGCTTATTTGGTTTTATGAAGGGGGTAGTGATCTTTTACTTGGAGGGAGAAGTGGGAGGGGATGGGTTAGAGTGTGTGTGCCGAGAAGGGGGCGGGAAGCGAAAGGGTGAGTAAAAGAATCCACTCTCCTGCGTTGGGATGTCCACTTACTGCATCAAGGCTTCGTTGGACTCGAATGCTAAGAGTCACTTACTCAAAAAAAGAGAAGGACTTGAGGCGTGCGGGCCAAGTTCCAAGCTGGTGTTGCTCGCTTGGAGTTGGCAGCTGTTACTTCACATCAAATACAAACACAGTCAAGACATCTCACACACCAAGAGCATACATAACATAGACCAATCAAACAAGCACACAAGCACGCTAGCAAAAAGAATGTAATTGGTCGACTATCAGCAGCTCTACCCAAAAATGCAAACCCTCTTCCTCCACTCCCTCCAAAAAGGTAGACAGGAGGTCGAACGATCTGGAAAACACGGTATAGTGCATCAGTCAACACAAAAGCGCAAAACAAGACGAAGCCGCCCAAAAAGCCATTCAGCGATCCATTCTGAAAACCTAGCAGCTCGCACAAGTGCCGCACTTGATTGCCGCCAAGACGTTCTGCACGCAGTGCTCTGAGATGCCGGGGGGGAGCATGATGAAGGAGGGCGGGACGCCAACTTGTGGAGGTGGAGAGATAGGGGGATCAACCGCGATGGGTGGTATGCCGCCGGTCGTGCCGGTGGGTGGTTCGATCAGGTATGCGGAGTCGTGGGCGTCGTTGTTGCAGGGTGTTTGAACGTCGTAGTCGCCGTGCTCGAAGAGTTGGCAGGATTTCAGGGGGTAATTGCTATTGTATCCTTGGCGGGCTGTGTACAACACACTGTGATTGTCAGGGTGGTCCGGGTCAAGCGTGGAGGGAGGGGTGGACTTACGACTTGCAGTTTGCAGTCCCGGCACAGATGTGGATGCAGTGTTGGAGGGAGGGAATATCTGGGATGACAGCTATCTCTTTCTTCCCGCCATCGACGTGGCGGCAGCAGAGGATGTAGAAGTCTTTCCCTCCGCCAGCAGAGTAGCGGCGATCTTGGGCTGTGAGTTGGTCAGTATACGTGCCCTCAAGGGCAAATACAAGGAGACTCACAGTTTGGACAGGTAGCCTCAGGGACAGTTGGGGCATCTAGAAGCTCGATACGGCTACGTGGTGGGCACTTGTACGTTCCTTGGGAACCTGAGTCCATTGGTTTGCCTGTCTTGTCGAAGAAACCTCCAAAGAGTCCCTTGACGACATCCTCTTCTGATCCAGTAGTTGGAATTGATCCTTCGCCACCTGTCTGGGGATTGAAAGGTGTCTCTCCAGTCGTACCCGGCTGTTGTACGGGAAAGCCTCCACTGCTGTGTGATCCTGAGGTAGAACCACCACCCTCGATTGGTTTTACATCGACTGGCTTTCCAGCGTGATCGAAATAGCCACCAAACGGACCTTGTACCACACCGGCGTCTCCTGAACCCGGGATAGAGCTTGTGCCACCAGTCTGGGGGATTTCGTGGCTTGGAAGCTGTCCTGTTGTACCTGGTTGTTGGACTGGAAACCCCCCGCTGCTGTGTGATCCGGTGGTTGAGCCGCCTCCTTCAATTGGCTTGTCGATTGGCTTCCCAGTATGATCAAAGCTGCCTCCAAAAGGCCCTTGGATGGGTACTTGGCCCTGATCCCCTGGCCTTGTACCTGGCTGGTCACCTGTCAATGGATGTACTGGAACTCCCCCGGTACTTTGTTGGTCTGTGATTGTTGAGCCTCCTGTGCTATCGACTGGCTTACCGGTGTGATCGAAACTGCCGCCAAATGGACCTTTGATAGGGACCTGGCCCTGGTCACCAGTATGCGGTTGAGTTTCAGATCCGCCCTGGGGAATGTCGCCGCCATGAATGGGAACATTTCCAGAACCCTGACTGCCCGGGCGCGTCGATGGCACATCGCCTCCAGAGCCCGGCTTGCCGGTGAGATCAAAACTGCCCCCGAACGGACCTTTGATAGGACCTTGATCACCTGTCTGAGGCTGGGATCCACCCTGTAGAATATCACCACCGTAGGTCGGGACATTTCCGGAGTCATGGCTTCCAGGGTGCGCCGATGGCACGTCTCCTCCCGATATTGGCTTACCAGTGTGATCGAAGCCTTGTTCGAATGGGCCCTTGATGTCTCCAGAGCCACCTGTGTCAGGCTTCAGATGATCGAAACCCCCTGTGGAAGGCTGCTGTGGGTTGACCAGGACGCCGCCTTGAGATGACTGATCTGGGAAACCTTCTTGTTGGCCTGGCTGAACGTGAGGGAATCCTCCCTGTTGGCCTGGTTGGGTCTGAGGGGATACTCCTTGCTGTTCGGGTTGAATTGGGAGACCGCCAAAGCTATGGTCAGGCTGTGTGGGAATATTCCCACTTCCAGAACTCGGCTTTGTGTCGAAAGAGCCCCCAATACCTGAGCCTTGTTGTCCTGTTATTCCCGAGCCAGGAGTTACAACACCTCCTTGGAATCCCGAAGGAACTTCTTGGGGTGCGCCTGGGGACCAAGTCCAGTAGTAACCTTGTCCGGAACCGCTTGAAATCCAAGTCCATGAGCCAGAAGGCGTTATTCCAGCAATCTTAGGTGGCTCTGTTCTAGACTCGGAGAAAATCCATCCCGACGAACCGGGCTTTGGAGCAGGGAGCTGCTGAATTGCTGGGTTAGAAGGGGTGAACGACCAGTAATAGCCTTCTCCACTTGGTGCCGATACCCATTTCCACGTCCCTGCGGTACCTGAGATTCCAGAGGGTAGGGAGGGTGGAGTGGTCTTGGAGGGGGAGAATATCCACTCAGTTGATCCCGAGCTAGGCTGTGGTAGTTGCTGCTGGGGAGATGGAGGTGAGGAAATGAATGACCAGTAATATCCCTTGCCATCTGGGCTGCTCACCCACTTCCAGGATCCAGTTCCAGATACGCCAGCTAGTAATGTGGGAGGGACGATCGAAGAAGTCGAAAATATCCATCCAGTCCCACCCGTCGGCGGCTCAGGTAATTTATCCGCGGGTTCTCGTGTTTTGGAAGATGAGATGTAGGACCAATAGTAACCCTTTCCATCTGGACTGCTCACCCATTTCCAGGATCCAGGTCCAGACACTCCAGCAGGAAGTGGAGGTGGTGTAGTCGAGGATGTAGAGAAAATCCATCCCGATCCTCCTGTCGGTGTCTCAGGCAACTTCCGTTGTCCCCCGGAAGAAATGAAAGACCAATAATAGCCTTTTCCGTCTGGACTACTGACCCACTTCCATGTGCCGGCGCCAGAAACTCCAGCCGGCAATGGAGGTGCTGTTGTTGATGATGTGGAGAAGATCCATTCGGTGCCTAGTTTCTCGTCAGCTACAATACGCAGTGTTGTGTCTGGGAATTTGAACTTGCCTGGCGCGGGTGGAAGATTTTGCTTTGGCCCAGCGATGAAGCTCCAGTAGTATCCTCCTCGCTGCTCACAGATTAGTCACCGCCAGGATGTAGGATAACGGTTGGTTGAGGCAGTTATATTAAGTAAATGCTTCCACCGTTCAAGGAGAAAGTGCTATAAGCGGCTAGGAAAACTTACAGACGGGGCGGATATCCATTTCCATGTCCCTTGACCCGACCCAGCGGGCAAAGGAGGTGCGACTGTGCTGGACTGAGAGAATTGCCAAGCTGTACCGGGTGGAGGAGGGAGATCTTGCTTTGCACCTGGGATGAAGCTCCAGTAGTAGCCACCCTATCAATGAACGCCAAATAAGCCGGTTGCTTTAGTGGCTGTGAACATGAATACAATCGTGTCTTCGGTTCCGAGCAGCGTTGCAATTGAGTTTCAAATGCTCATTGAAAAGAAAAGGATTAGGACGGATGAGAAAACAAACTCACAGATGGACCAGAAACCCAAGTCCAGCTTCCAACGGACTGTCCGGCAGGCAACGGAGGCGGTGTTGCGCTAGATTGAGAGAATTGCCAGGGTGTGCCAGGTGCTGCACCAAGTCCTTGAGCTGCAGAAGAAGGAGAAGACGAGGATGAAGACGAGTAGCTCCAATAGAAACCGCTCTAGGCCAGCTTTAAGTCAGCACATAGTGATTCAGAGAAGCTGTAAGTTCGAGAGAAGTCTGTTGACTTACAGAAGATGGGGAAGGGATCCAGGTCCATTTTCCTTGAGACGATGCACCAGGTGGTAGAGGCGGAGCGACGGTACTCGATTGGGAGAATTGCCAAGCAGATCCTGGGGCAGCTGGAAGTTGTTGATCTGCTGTCCACTTCCATTGCTCGCTCCATTGCCCAGACTCGCTCTGCAAGTGGTCAGTCAGCTGGTCTCAGAACTGAGCACCAGATTCTGTGCTCACCCATTGTTGACTCGAGGAACCCCATGGCTGACGCTTTACCTCCCAATCTTTCTTCGACGAATCACCCCAAGGCTGGCGCTTAATCTCCCAGCCATTGCCGCCTTGCGCATAAGACACAAATACTCCAATGCCCAAGCTGGCAAGGACGCCAAGCCGGGCTTGTTTCATACTTTGAATAGTGACTCGATCGAAATGTTTTGAAGAAGAAATGAAAGTTGTTTGGAGAAAGCAACGAAAGAATTAGTCCTCTTAAATTCTCTTATATATGATTTGATCGAGCACACACGATCTTGATGGCCGAGAGGCCTCGGTAGGGTGTCGTTCCACCATGCCGATCTGCTCCAACTTCGAGGAACCCAGCACTCCATTTTCGTTACACAACCTCGGTGCTTTCCGATGAGTACTTGAAACCTATTCTCAAGTGCGAAGAGATAACACTCGACTTCTAGGACACCAGGGAACAGGACGGATGTAACAGTAAAACTAGCAATATCTAGGCGGTGCTACGCGAAGGTTCGGATTTCTCCTTTTCCTCGGAATCGCGGGGTTAGCTCGCTACTG